CTGCCGGCTATCCATACCTGTGACAACGACCACTGACAGCTTCGTGACATGTTACGAAGATACCAAAACTACTTCATAAATGTTCAAGTGGGTGCTAAATTCAAATCGGTTTCAACAAAAACTACCCCAGAAAAACATGTACAACTGGAAAATGAGGACCAAGGTCATCTAACGTCAATGACCTTGCCTTGACCTTCACGTGACCTTCAGGCTTGACATCCACCATAATGCATGTGACAAACATCATTTCACATGTTTGAACGTTTAGAGCCACAAAAAGACTGGAAACGCGCTGAAAATGTGCGCTGACATATGCCGAATAGCGATTTTGGCTGAATATGGTCTCGAGAAACAGTTCATAGGTCAAAGGATATTTCGGTAACGTTCATGAAATTAAAGGGTAGGCATTACGCTGAGAAATCGAGGCTCTTCAATGTTTCGTTGCAATCGGCCATTTCTTTTTTGCACGAGTTATTCGCGAAAACCGAGGGAGGCAAGTTCAACCCCTCCCCATATCAGTGCGAGGGTAAGCCCGGTGGCCACTGGCCATTTAAATTTGGCAGCAACCTCGTTGGCCATTTATATTTGACCTATGACGTCACAGGAAGATCGAAAAGGTAAAATAGGTAGGTTTGAATTTACTAACAATTCATTACGCAAAATGAACTTTATCACGTAAAAGCGGCGACAACTTTTTAGTAAGTCACGAAGATATAAATAAGTATCATAGTTCCCTAGACTAATGACAAGTGCAAATGCTTAAAATAATGTGACGTCATCAGAACAATCACTATATTTAAATCCTTCAAATAACTATATCTCTGGCAGTTTTACAAATATTCTGTTCATTTTTGGTATGTGTAAAGACTTTTGACTCTCTTTAACATGTGTTCCGTTTTTTTTTTAATATTTCCTCAAATTTAAAGAATAACTAAATACAATCTCAGTTTTGACCTAAAACTTGCAAAGTCTTGACTTTTTTTCATTTCTTTCTTTGAAATTTCGAGAAGGCGATTTCCTTTGCCATGCCTTTGATACCTACGGTTTGATTTTTGAGCCTCTAGTGTCTAGATTGTTAATATGATTAGGTATCTGTGGTTTTTACCGTAAGCAACACTTTCGACTGAAAAGGGACGAACGTGATCTCATGACCTTCATAACTCACGACGTGAGATGAGCCAAGAGCTATTTTTCAGGAGATGCGCAAAATGGTTGTTCGGGGAGTTACTGAAAACGGCAAGTCGAAATTCGTGGCCGCTATTGAATAATATAAGAAATACCACAAGGGAGGGTGGCTCTTCGCCCTCATACGGGTCACGGGCTAATCATTACGAGATTGCAATTGAGCTCCTTATTCGCTTCACATATTTACTTGCGTACTAAGGCAAGTAACACACCCCTAGCTGCAATATTACATGCAGTACACAACATATTGCAGCTATAGCTTCTGAAGCATGTTGCTGGAAACGGCCACGTTTGTGGTTAGTTTCTGCCAGATATTAACTCGGGAACCTAATAAGGGTGATTCTAGATCTTCCTTCGTCAGCATAAAGCGAAACATATTTCAAGATTATGGCATAATTGAAAATAATGTCACGCAATATCACACTTGCAGCATTACTTCTAAAACTAGATACTCTAATTCTAGAGCTCTTTCCATGGTCAGAAATTGACCATGACTTCATGGGAAAATCAATTGCAATATTCCAATAAGCACAAGTGGGTGACATTACTCACCACATGCTCCGTCGTCTCTTGCGATTGTTGTGCCCGATCGGTATGTGCTGCTTTTCTTGGGCAAGACGATGTTAACATCTAAGGCAGACCGAAACGGAGCTGATACAGATTCATCCAACTTTCGGGATCCCGCACTCATTATCGTTGGGCCAGAAACCCTGCTATCTGGACGACTATCACTCATGATTTTATGAGGTGTTTTGCTATTTTAAAGAATTGGTGATGCAACCCCCTCATGAAATAGATGGAAACGTCAGTTTCAACTTAGAAAACAATAGTTTCGTTTCCCATTGATCCCATTATCCCTAAAATGTTCCAGATGACTTTGATTCCTTTCACATTCACTCTCATTCGAAAAACGAAGTAACTCACGAGTCTTTTTTCTTTTTTCGATGTCCCTCTTTTTCGATGATTAATTTCAAGTTCCTTTGAAGCGGAGATATCTCAAATATCCTACATTCCTTTTTACTTTATCTAATTGTCATGTTAACTTTTCAGTAAATCAGATGCAATTTCTTGAAAATGGATATGGACGATTTTATAAAGGACGATTATGATGTTAATCGCTTCCTTGCCTATAGGATACATGAAGAATGGCTGTATAGAGCCTCGAGAAGGAAAGTTAACATCTCAGTTTTTTTAATGTATCAATTTATGTAGCTATTATAATAGGCAAGTTTTATGCCTGTTATTATTTTATGTAAGCATAGCAAGACAATATAGCCGTTTTCACAACGGGTTACGTTACATGACGAATGCATCAAACTTGCACAAAATCTATTTTTCCACAAATATATTCATATCATGAACTCATTTCAGTATTGTAATAGAAAAGAATGTGTTATAATTTAAAAAAGCAGGTATATGAGCTACTGTGGGACCTAAACTGATATGTCAACCAATAAAGATCTTTAAATTCAGCAACAATGCATATAACTATTTCATACACAAACATTATATCGACATCGCATAGCAAAGGCGTATAAGATCAAGGGATGATGTCAAGTTCACTTTTCAAATAATTAATAAATTACCCCTTGCACTAATATGGATATGATATGGGGATGAAACGGACCCCCTCGACTTCCGGCGAATAACTCGCGCAAAAAGCGATTGATCGCCACGAAACTTTTAGTACCCTTGAGTCAATTAATTTTACGCCTACCTTTGAAATTAAATGACCACGACCCAAGTAACATTTTACATGTCATCACTTTCTCGGGGCCATGTCAGGCTGGAATCGACGTCTGACAGCACACAATATTCGTGCGTTTCCAGTCTTTTTGTGGTTGTCAAAACTCCAACATGAGAAATGATGTTTGTCCCATGCATTAGGGTGGGTGTCAAGGTCAAGTGAAGGTCATGTACATAAAGGTAATTGACCTTGGACGACCTTGTCTTACTTTTCGAGTTATACATGCTTCTAGAGTAGTTTTATAGCTGATTTCTAATTCGGCACCCATTTGAATATTTGAGAAGTAGTTTTGATGCCCATGTCGACGCCTTTTTTAAACCCCACATCTGCTCTCCCGTGAATTTCCGGGAGGCACGAAAGTTCTCCTTTTAAAAGTGTCCAATCGTCCGATCCTGATCAAATATGTGTGTTCGTAGGCCTGTTCTGGTATTGCTTTATCTGCCAAGACAGACAAACTTGAGAAAAATCGAGTGATTGTACCTTTTTTGAAGGTCTCTAGCCAATTCTTGTCTGAAATTCACCCGAGAACAAATGTGGGGTTTAAAAAAAAGGTGTCGATGTAACGTTACGAAGCTGTTGGTAGTTGTTGACACCTACTTTGAGTAGCTGGCAGGACGCCTACTGGTTAACCTGACCTGACCTCTGACCTGACCTGACCCGACCTAGCCTATAAAGTGCATGAACACGTCATCTTTGATCAAAACTAACATGACATTCGTAATCAGGACCCCTAAAGTCTCAAGTACCTGACATTACGAGATTCTAGCAGGTCCCGATTTTCTCGTCTTTTGGGTCATTGACCTGGCCTGGAAGGTCAACCGATGACCTGGGAACATCGGCTTCCACTCAACGCGGGCAGCACACTCTTTTTTTCTGCGAATCTCTCGCTCGATCGGGGGCCAAGCGGCTGGGGGTGGTAAGCGCTAGATGCTGTAAAAGGCCAATACGGGAGAGGGTTAAAATATTAATTACGATTGTACCATTTAATCCAGTCGCTCATTGTTGGAAAAAAACATTGGTCCTTCACAATAAAAACTAGTCTGCCATTGTGGACATTATAATGTATCATCAATTTCCATGTTTATTCTACTTCTAAGACACACTTCTTCTAAGCACCTCTGAGGCTTACACGCCAGTCTACGTAGTTGAAGCCTCAAGGAAACGAACTTGGAAGCATATCGAAATCGAATCACTTGTTTATTAAAATATTCAGCACAGCATCAGCATCTCATCAGCATCTCACTGTTTTTCCTCAGACGGAGTCGTTTCCAACGGCGATTATTCCCCGGCCAGAATATGAACGACGTTTTTGCACGGTCCCGTTCCTATGCCTCAGATTACGTCTCTCTACACTGGGACTTGGGATCATCTTATAGATGTTAAAACGTTCCATTTTCGTAAAATGTTTGATGGTCATCCACCGCAAAGTTATGCGTCGATGTTATTGTTTTTGTAATTGTCAATTTCTGACGTAATATGTCACGTTTAAGAATCATTCAGTTGTGTTTTTATCTCACTCTCTGGTAAAAAGAGAGCTCGACAGATGCACAACAACCGGTCCAAGATCTATCCTTACATAAATCTGCGACATTGGAAAAAAATTGTTAAAGTAACGACACCTCATATGCAATTTTTAGATAATGGTAATGCTGCACATGGCATGATGGTCTGAACGCTTTGCAAACATATTACGATCGAGTAAAAAACGGCATGAACAGCCCTCAGCACTCAGCAGACTGCGTGGTAGGTATTCTTTTTTCGACCAAAACCGATAATTACTCAAAGGCTATGTCAACAGTCGGTCGGAACTCACTTCAATAGATGCGCCATGCTCCACTCCTTCGATTGGGTCTATTACTAAACAAAGTAAACGGCTTGTGTGGCAATAAAATGCAAAAGTTTGTTTTGGGGGCAAATATAAACTTTTGGGTTTTGCTGCCAAACTGGATGGAAAATGAATAAGATGATAATGCCAATCTAAGGTGCGGTATCTCGCGCGTCTTGCTGTTACGATTTTCGAGTGACCGATAGCATAGTATTCGCGTTATTCTCGGTTTTGTCGGAAAAAGAATACCTACCACGCAGTTTGCAGAGGGCTGTGCATTGTGCAATCACTGGTGACTGGTGAGAAAGGCGTGCTATTTTTCAATAAAATGATAAGATCTGTCCTGAATGCCACAAATATAAACTGATTGCAATTGTTTTACATTACGAAGCAAATGCTGGAGGAAATTTCAAACAATTATGTGTTTTGCTGAGTGCTGGAATGCCATTTCATGAGAAAACACACAAGTGGCGAACTGCAGGTCTGAAAAAATTGTCATCACTGAAGGCTTACATTTCCAAGCAAAAACCGATCATTTGGTTAAACACTTCGACATAATATGTACTTAACCTTTGCATTATATTGTTGAAAGGAAAAAAGGGTCAATCCACTCATCATTACGACTATAACCTGTCCAAAAGCCATCGTTCAACATGGAAGTCCAGAGAGCCAAGTGACGACCATTGGAGAGCCGTGCGGCAGGACAAGCAGGCAGCAAGCAGGCGAGTAAGGAGATGAACTCCTCAACATCAAATCAAATGCATTTCCAACAACGTTAAAAAATGCATTTCTATGCTGGGCAGCAAGAAGCTTTATTTGACGGTGTCGGAAGGCAAATGCTTTATCGTGATTTATTCTGGCGGTTAAAACTATGCATGTGCCTATTTTTTTAAGAAGCAACAGAGATTTGGATGTTAGGCATTCATATTCTTCGCTTACGAATAGGTTGTTTATTGTTATGTTTAATTTTTTAAATACTTTTATTTCTATACATAACTGAAATATTCTTATACATTTTTAATCAAAGAAAGTGCAGTTTTCTTGGAAACTCATAAGGTACAATAACCTACCAAGGGGATCCTATGTTGCGACTGCGCATGCCGGTTGCCAAGAAATCCTCGAACCCCACATCGACAAAACAAGTCAGCCGACGATGGCAGCTCGGAGCAAAACAGCTTGTCCGTAGCGCGACACCGAGTTCCAGCTCGTCGGGGGGCTGCCAGGAGGGGAGTATGTCACTCGCGACTTGCAGACCCAACTTTTCCCCGAAATGTCGCGTTGTGCCAGCATTTACCATCGAAGTTTGGCAACGAAATACGATCCCTGTACCTGCACCATGTGCAGGAGCGTTCAAGCCCAGACGAACGAAGCCGACCACCTTTCGAATGTACTACGAGCGAGGAGACTTTCCCTTGATTCTGGAACCAGTGGTCCGGGGCTTCAAAATCATCTGGAAGGTAAGTGGATAATTTGCTATACCACCTGTCCTGCACCACTACGCAGGAAAATTAAATGTCTGTTTTCACGTCTAGCATATGAAACGCTTGACCGAGTCTGCCGTCAATAAGTTTCTTTTTTTTTCTAGTTTTTATTTATGAAAAAAAATGATTTGTCTACGGAAAAATTGAATCATTTAGCCTTTCACTATTCTTCACAATTGAAAATGCGCTATAAATCGGAAGTAATCAATTCAGAAAATAAAAGATGCATGGACGAGCCTAACGTTTTACAAGCAACTGGTGATCAGTGTAAAATAACGTCACCATTTTTCAGGTGCCCATTGAAAAACTCGATCTTCATCACTACCTGCCACTGTTTTTCGACGGACTATGCGAGCAGACACACCCATACGATTTCCTTGCAAGGCAAGGAGTTCACGACATTCTACGGAGAGGAAAAGATAAAATATTACCGGTTGTGCCGCAGCTCATCATTCCCATCAAAAGTGAGTATAATTTGTCAAATCCTAGGACCTTGTGAACTAATTACATATCATATTCTAAATTTATCATTGTATTTATCATATTATCCGTCTTTTACCGTGAGATGCTTGCATTGTTACAATTTCGTAAAATACTCCCGTCGTTACATTCAGACCCAAGGCATCCACTTTTCGGTCGTCGCTGCCAATTTTCAGCCTAAGGGGACGAATATAACCTCAATTTAGGTGACGTCATGCGCCAAATGAGCTCCATAATTGTGCATTCGCGGCCATCCCAGCTCTAATGTACAGCCATTACCCACCTCTTTTAGGCCATCACGCATCAAAAGATCCAGATCAGCGCCGACCCCATTAAAGCGGAATCTTGAGTACACAGTGGGCTTTGAAGCCGACGTAAATCAGTAAACTGCTAACATCAGGCGTTCACACAGCCTTTAACTAGTCTCTATAGAACCCTGCAGTTGCCGCCGATGACCGTGTGATACCTGCCTGGCAAATGCCGGGGGAGTTGACCCCGCGACCGGGCCGTGTTTCAGATGCGCTCAATACGCGCTGCCCGTCCATCCTCTGCGTGACACTGCAAGTGCTGCAGCACCTGGCGCTGTGCGCTGACCACGTCGGCGAGGCCCTGGTGCCCTACTACCGACAGATCCTGCCCATCCTCAACCTGTTCGTGAACAAGAACGGTCAGTGAGCGTCAGGGGACCGGGAGGCGGTTTCAGTTATTGATAACGTTTTATTTATTTATTTATTTTTGCTGGCACTTTGGAGCTAGGCGCACGATATGACTCGACTTTCGTTTCCTTTTGCCTTCTGGTTTTGTTTGTTGGGGATTAGGGACGCGCCGACTGCGAGGTCATTTTGCCTTCTGATAACAAAGACGGTGATCAGTCATTTCAAATCCCTATTCTCTATTTGTTCGTTTTATTGGGGCGGGTTCATGCGCCCGCCCCTCATTTTTTCGCGAATGTTTCAAAGCATCAGCGCACAGCGCCAGTTTTTTTTTATTGCGTTGCATTGCATCTTTTCCGCACATGTGCATATTCATTAGGCCCAGGTCACCAGGTCATCTCGCCTCCATGAAAAATGAAATGCTTATCATAGCTACATCAAACGAACGATTGCATAAAGGTTGACAGCACTTCTAAGCGTACACCCGGTAGACGGTAACATTGGGTTATAGGCCATTTCATTCAATAAGTAAAATGGGGAAAATTTCCCATTTCATTACCTCTGGTGAAACATTTCATTACCTTCGACCTGACATGAAAATGACTGCAATACCCACTTTAGTGATTTTTGACGCGCTATCGAAAACCGTTTACCTGTGTCGCCACCTAGCCAGAGGCGCAGGAGCCAAGTCAGAAGGGCCGAAAATGAGCCCCACCCCAACTCGCCTCTGTGTTACGATCCAACCACCACCCTGGCGTGGGCTAACGTCCATCCAATTTGCCATGCGTCGTCTTGAGAATGACTCTGTCCCTGTTCTGCCCACAGTGAACCAAGGCGACGGCATTGACTACTCGCAGCAGAAAAACGCCAACATCGGAGACCTCATTCAGGAGACGCTCGAGATCTTCGAGAAGACGGGCGGAGAGGACGCCTTCATCAACATCAAGTACATGGTGCCCACCTACGAGTCATGTGTGCTCAACTAGCGGGTCGAAGTCGCTCAGAGACAGAGAGAAAATCACCAGTGAAGTCCTGACGTCTCCACAAGGAAGTGTGCTCGTCTAGATCTTTCTGAATAACACCACAAACTTCAATCGAGGCACTTGTTTGAATTAGAACGCACCCCAACTGGCATGGAGTCTAAGTTTCTTCCGAGCTTTCCAGCAAGCTTGAATCGACCGCAGGATTGCAGGGCTCGCCCTTACCATAACGCGAATAAACCGACAGATCAAGTTACGTCCATGTATTTAGACATTCTAGTGCAGAGTGCACACTAGCATACATATGCACACGTACACATATCATTCATTGTGACACAGGAAATATTCCACCAGTCACCGTTACATATATCAGCGGCGGCCATCACTTAGAGCTAGCGAATATATCACAGTAATACCAGGGTACTCGAGCGGGGAGTCTGCCGGCGGCGCGTAGAGCTACTGCAGTCCACTATTTCATATATGCAATAACGAGGTCGAGCTAAGCAATGAACCGCAGGCCAGCTCTCCTACTAACTGCATAGTGTATGTGTTACGCGCTCCATGGGTTACACGTGTATGTTACATGTGAGTCCCAAGGGTCGACCGGGCTCGCTTCAACAAGCGGGGCCGGACTCGATACCACTTGCAGAGGCAATAACACAATGGGAGGCTATATGGGGCCTGTTTGTTCATCATATCGCCCATATAGCAGCAGCGGATCCGTGTATGTAAAACTCCGTGTGGCTAAATACACACTCCGATATTATTAACTCGATACATAACACGACCTCTTTCAAGATAACCAGGGCTGGATAAATGAGGCTGCATTACGGAGTTGCCTAAATTCCGGCAAATAAATGGCCCAAGCTTAACTGCTGCGTAGCTTACAAATAGAAACGCTAGCATTATAGGCGCAAATACCCTGTGCGAACGTAAAATAGCGGAGGCCAACAACCTTGTGCGACCTTACAACATATTACAGCAAGTGGGGCAGGCATATAACGATACACGGTCCATTACGACTCAACTAATTGTGCTAAACTAAACAGCATCGCGCCGCATACACATAACTCAAACAGCGGCTAAATCAATGGCAAAAAACGACCAATAGTGTGCACTGTACAATAATCTGTCTGTGGAGTTCGGGACGTCAAGGTCTCAAGTCGTGCTTTAAAACGTAAATAAAATGAAACAAGGGCTGCAGCGCATATGAGCTTTGTCCATTTATATCACAGAATCGCTGAGGATAATGAAATTTCGCAACATTTAAAAAATCCCACAAACACCTGCATATCCCAGTGGTTCCAAAAGAAAACAATCCAAAACATTGGTCGTTATCATAGTTCTAAAGGTAAACTGGCAATTTCCTAGGCGATTCAGCGCTTTTCATGTGTGAGTAAATGGAAAATAAAATGTCAAAATCAAAGAGCGACTTCAACAGGCAAGAAATTTGTCCACTGATATCACAGTAACACTATGCAATGGAATTTTGCAGTTAAAATTGCAGCCACAGGTTCCCATGAACGGTAAGACCCAAAGCTATCCAAACTTTTCATGTTCCTCAGATGGACATCTCTCACAGCGGCGGCGAAATAACTCAGAACGCGTTTCCCGTACTCCGGGCAGAGAGTCGTAGAACCTCCCCTCCAACCGTCGTTCCTAACTATTGTACCCTGCCTAGTTTCTAGCGTTGCTACCGATTACCAAACCTACCGAGCACGCACCAGAGAAGGGTAGATGTGGGTATGTGTAGGGGACTCTTTTATCAATGGAAGCGAGCTGTGGCAACGGGAGAGGGTCATAACAACCCCGCAGTGGACCGTACAAGGGTCGCGGCACTCCCGGAGGATCGTAACAACCCCGGAGAGAATCGTAGCATCCCGTGAAAGGACCGTACGCAAAAATCCCGGAAATGGTCGTAACAACCCCGGAGAGAATAATAACACCCCGTGAAAGGGTTGTACGCAACAACCCCGGGAAGGGACGTACCAGTCCCGGCAGGGGTCGTAACAGTCCTGGAGGGGGTAGTAATAATCCCGGAGGGGGTCGTAATAGTCCCGGGAGAGAGCCCCGGCCAGCCCCGTCACGATACTGCGTCCGAGAGGTAGGCCGGAGACGGAAGAGACTTTGTACCGTCCAAACTGACGTGCAACGGGTAGTTACCTACAAGACTAATAGCGAGTACCAGGGATTGACATCGGCTTAATGTTGCCTACTTCATGCCTCGAATCACTAAGCGCGCACGAGAATATTCAATAGGAAAATCGCATTTGTTCAGTACGTCGACATATTAAAAGGTTGATGGCGAAACCCTGATTCACTCTCCACACATACATGGATCTGATAATTGTAAACACGCTAGCTAAAACGCGTCTAAAATACGCCGGTTTCTCGGTTGCAATGCGCAGTCTATGGGACCGACCCTGCCGTTGCCAGCGCGACGGCTGGATTACGGTGTCGCCACACGTCACCATACGTAGGTGGCGCTGCTAGACACCTATGGGGCAGTCGCCTGCCTCGGCAGCTAGATAACGCAGCCCTCTACATCTACAGACTTTCACATCGCTTCAGCGCTGCATAAATCGACGATCCTTATAACCGTCGCCTCGCCTCGTCCTAGATTCACCGTACCACTAAACGTCTGCATAGCACACAAGGCGACCCCACGTCCCGACACCGACCCCCACGCATCCCTCCCGTCCTACCCAATCCCGCTCGCCTCACTCACTCGCTTCGCTCCGTGCTGCTGGAACTGGTGACGCTGCCGGGCCTCGTGCCACCGTCCGGAGATAGGGTCGGACTCGAGCTGGTGGCCGAATCACTACAGTCGAGCTGGAGATGAAGACTGAACCGCTGCAGCACACGCTCCGGGGGCTGCGGACGGGCGCGGCGGGCAGCCGGCTCCGGCTCCGGGGAGAGATCCGGAGCCAGTGCGCCGTCACAGTCCGACCCCGGCTCCGGGTCCGGGTACGAGGGCAGCTCCGGGTCCGAGTCCGGGCCGGCCTCCGGGTCCAGGTCCGAACTGCGGCAGGGGGAGAGAGGCCGTTAGCAGTTGTGAAGTCTGTGCGAGGGCGGAGGAATGAGTTGCATTAGTTCTCGAGATGAGATAGATATTGCGGACAAGTACGGCATTGAAACCCAGGACAATATTGTGATGCACTCTAATTCGTCCAACTATAACGACGTGGTGTTGTGTTAAAAAACCTAGCCAAAAATCACAGGTCATCAATACACAATAGGCTTCGCAACTAGCCCCCCTAACCCCACATCCCCCTCCTCACCTGACGATAGCAGCGCGCTGTCGGGGTATCTCGCCAGCCCCCGCCGCCGTCACGGCCGGTGCCAGTACTAGCACCGCCTGCGGCCAGCGTTCAGCAGTGGTCCGCGCTGTCGGCGGCGGGGTAGGAGGCGGCACACCCTGCCGTAACTCCGGCAGACGGATGGCCTCACTGTAGGGCGGCGGCGCCTCGCCCGTGGCCACCTGGGGCGGCTTCCACACCGAGTAGGGCGGCGGCGGCTGTTCGTAGTAGAAGTCGTGGCTGCCGCGGCCACCGCCGGCGCCCAGGTAGCCCGAGCCGCGCAGGTAGTTCATTAGCTGTAGGTTGTAGGTCTCCTCGGGACGCAGAGATGGAGGGCCTGAGGGAGGGACAGGGGGAGACGATGTAGAACGCTGTAGTAGCCGTCACGGTGGACAGAGCGGTGGAGAGCTTGATACAGTACTGTATACAGTATACAGATACAGTATACAGTGCTGTATACAGTATACAGTACAGTATACAGAACAGTACTGTATCTGTACTTACAGATACAGGGAGAAAAGCCAACTCGGAGTCAGGACTGATCACCATGGAAGAAAGAAGGCCGCAGAGCCTAACGGAGAGAGAGGGGGAGAATCTGTTGAACGCTTTATTTACTGCCAAAGTAGAGTCAGTGGTGTTGATCCGTCCGGGTCAGCTCGACTAATCCTGTGGTCGGGTGAGACGACGCAAGGAACAGGCCGGTCCACCTGCGTCTTAGAGGCTGCTACCAGGGACTAAGAGGAGGGAGACCAGATCTTTCCAGATCGCCTCTTCTACTCCTCACTCCATTGTGTGCGATGCTTGATTAGGAAATCTTGATACGGTCTCGTGTAGTACTCAAGGTGAACAAGATGTCGCAGAGGAGCTATCGGATATCAATTTCAAACAAATGGCAGCTCTGATTCGTTTCATTTTGACTGGGAGTGACGAATGTACGATGTAAAACAGATCACCCTAGCTGTAACAACGTACCACCATAGGTAGGTAGCGAAGCACACGCTGCCAACACAACATTGGGAATCTATTGGCCATGAGAACAGCGGAGATCTGCAGCCGGTATGAAGATCAATGACAATGAAAAAGTTCTAGCATGAGTGCAGGGATGTATGAATGCTCACCAATCATCATGCGGCATGCGCCATGCGCACGCTCCCTTGGTCCCAGGTCAGGGTGGTCAGAGGTCAAAAAATGCATCGGCCGGGAATCGAACCCGGGCCGCCCGCGTGGCAGGCGAGCATTCTACCACTGAACCACCGATGCTGCACACACAGACGAAGAAATTCTAAAACTTTCTGCAGTAGGCTAGCGAGTGACGGAAAGTGACTTCACAAAAGCATAACTAATCCCTTCTCTAACAAGTAACAACTTGAGGAAAATGTGTCCTTAAGCCATGAGAGGAGAAAATATGACATGTACAACAAGTGTCATGGTGCATGAACGTGACAAAGCGCAATGCCTGCAAAACAGAGCCCGCCACGCACGCAGATAATCCAAGAGCCTGCAGTCTACACTCTACAGCCCTCTCTGGCATCTCTGCTGCACTCCTACCTCTGTGTCGCCTCTGCCGCAGCCGGTAAACCAGGAACAGCAGGAGTGCCAGCGACAGCACGGCCGTCACCGCCGAGGCCACGAGGCGCAGACCGAGGTCCTTGGAGCCGCCCAGGTAGCCGGGTGAGGCGCCGGCCTCGCCGCCGCCGTCCAGACAGATGAACTCGCAGCACTTCTTGCCCAGCTGGTACTGGCGACATGTCTAGAGGGGGGGGGGGGGTACGGAGAGTCAGATCAACAGATCGAACGCAGACTAGATACATCACTGAAATAACTCAGTTTTAAAGTCGACTTTTGTACAACTAACATATCTGTTTCAGTCCACTGAAATTAAGAACTATGAACTAAAATAGGTCCATTACTGATATTGATACACTTACACTTACACTTACACTTACGATGTACGAGATTTAGAAGGCCACTTGGCCTTTAGGACTCTTACTTTATCGAGCTCCTTGACTGTGTCACTTCCTCATCGTCATATCACACTATGTCACATCATTGATGTGAATGGTGTATTGGAGGTGGGACCAGTGGGCGTCGAGCTTGGCTTTGAAGGCATTCAAGGAGCGAGATGAAACAACCGATGCTGGTAGGGCGTTCCAGTCGTTTACGACCCTGACTCCAAGAGCGAGTCTTCTCGTTCTTGTTTCAGCCCTCGGTTTCCTCAGTTTCCAGGCGTGGCCTCTGGTGGGACCAGCGGCAGCTGGCGTGACAAACAGCTCCGGATCCAGGTCGACTCCACCGTGCAGCAGCTGGTATATCGCGATCATATCTCCTCGTCGCCTCCTGTAGTAGAGTGACGGCAGACCTAGACGTCGGAGCCTCTCAGTGTACGGCAGGTTCTTGATCGCTGGTATCAACTTGGTAGCTCTCCGTTGAACCCTCTCCACTCGTTGTTGGTCCGCTCGACTGAATGGGCCCCAGACAGTGTTGCAGTACTCCAGGTGAGGTCTGACCAGTGTTTAGTAAAGAGCCGGGAGCGTTTCTGCGTCGATGGATTCGAAAGATCTGCGAATCACGGATAAGACACGTGTGGCCTTCGACACCGCAGCTGCAGCGTGCTCCCGAAACTTCAACTCACTGTCGACCAGGACACCAAGATCCTTCTCAACGGTGGTTTCGTCCAACTGCGCATCACCCATGGAGTACCTCTGACCTTCGCTGGCCCTTCCAACGTGCAGAACTCTACACTTTTCTGCATTGAAGCGGAGTTGCCACATGTCTGACCAGTCGATGGCTGCGTTCAAGTCGGCCTGCAACCTTTCAGCGTCTGACGAGCTACTCAGTGGACGGTAGATTTTGGTGTCTTCTGCAAACATCTGTATGTTGCACTGCACAGCATCAGGAAGGTCATTCACATATATTACAAACAGCAGTGGCCCAAGCACAGATCCTTGTGGTACTCCACTCTTGACAGGTGCCCAGCTGGACTTCGCACCATTCAGGATGACCCTCTGCCTTCTGCCCATCAGAAAGCTCTCCACCCAGCGCAGCAGCCTCTCCCCTATTCCGTAGGCCCTCAGTTTGCACAGTAGTCGCTGGTGAGGTACCGTGTCGAAGGCCTTTGAGAAGTCCAAGTAGATTGCGTCCACTGACTTTCCTCGTTCAATCGCCTTGGTCCAGTCATCGATCGTTACCAACAGTTGGGTTGCGCAAGAGCGTTTGGGGCGGAAACCGTGCTGTGCATCAGACATGTGCATGGATCCGAGTGATGGATCTATGATCTCAGTGGATCTCGAAGCAAAGTACAGGTTGGGATCTATGATCCCACCAGATCCGGCGTGAAAAATACATCTTGGATCTATGATCTCATATGATCTGACGATAAATTAAGAACATGGATCTATGATCTGAGTGGATCCCACCATGCACCACATTTGAAACCATGTTTTATAGTGTTTCTATGCCAATAAATGCCACAAAACTATGGATTATGACGCGCGATCACATAAAATCACTAAAACAGTATGTTTGTGAGTTGAAACAAGCGTTTTTTGGGGATATACGTGTTCACAAAAAATAAGCGAGGATCTATGATCTCACTGGATCTCAAGCAAAAAATGAGACTCGGATCTGTGATCCCTACGGATCTCTCGATAAATTACAGAGCTGGATCTGTGACCCCGTCGGATCCGAGATCAGGATCCGTGGGATCAGATCCCAGATCCATTTTCTCGGATCCATGCACATGTCTGCTGTGCATTGTTAAGCTGCTGAGTCGCAACCATGTGTTACATGATATGGTCGCGGATAATCGACTCGAGGACCTGATCAATACCTGATCAAAAGATCAAAATTCATGCCATCCCACCATTGCATGATGAAGACAATAGAGATGCAGCATTCTAAGATGCAGTCAACACCAAAGCTTCCCCTCCCTCAGCGATCTCTCAAGTCTCATCGCGGCCAGTTCCTTCTCCCCCTTCTTCCGTGACCCGCTGGCGTTCTTACCCGCGGCGCGGCGCACATGACCGACTGGCAGAGCTTGTGTTCACCGTTGTCACACGTGCACACCGTACACTCGTCCCACCAGGGCGTGTAGCGCTCGTTGGTGCGTATCTGACGGCCGTTCAGGTCCGTGCAGAGCCGCGGCTCCGCTGTGGGACAGAGGTGTAATGTGAGTCTACCGTCATACCTTTCCATGCCCGAGTCCAATGCCTGCAATGAATCGGCCAGAGTGCCTTCACCACCAGTGCCAGATACAAGGAAAGGAGGTGCCTCATGGCATGAGAAGAGGCCAACACCCCGGCACAGGTCCTGCTGAGGTGCCCTGCCCTGATGACCTGCTGATTCCAGAGGCTGGGTACAATTATACCGGCGCACGAGGACGTGCCGATGCAGTGATAGCGTGATGCTGGCGATAGAGGGAGAAAAAGGGAAGCCAGGGAAGCAGAAAGGAATAGAAGAGAGAAACGAGGAGAGGAAATAGAAGATGGGAGAGACAGAGCGGAGAGAAAAAGAAAAGGGTCAGAGGGCAGAATATGGGAAAGGTGAAGTTGCAATAGCACTAAAGCAGTTACTGATATGTAGTAGCATTTACTCACTTTGCTGCATGTTATAAAGCTGGGCAATTTCCAGAGGAAAGGTAGATGAAAGGCATATAGAGGCATGTCTTTTTACATACGTAAATAAAAAATAGTATAACAGAACACAGACTCAGCAAGATTAGCACACCTTGAAAGCTGTCTAATACTGGGCTCACCAGCCAGTGCAACTAGGGCTTCGTTTCACAAAGCGAGTCCATACCTCATGGTGGTTTTTGGTCTTGCATTGCAAGTGCCCTCAAATGCCCTCACCTTGGCCTGGAAGTTGAAGCTTTGTCATGATACTGAGTGCAACCAAGGAGGTCTACCACAGCTCACTGTAGCACACATTTAACATCTTGAAATGGTGCCTGAAAGGAGCAAAGGAGCAATGAAACCAACAGGCAACAGTTCGAGCAGCAAAGTTTTCCCAACTGAGTCATGTAAAACAATGCATTAATGAAGGGGAGTTGAGTTGTTCGCTGCTGCAAATAGTTCAATGCTGACATCGCTAATCAGTATTGAGGCTTTACTGTAAACAGCATGCTGAGTAATTTTTGTTAAGGGTCCTGGATTGTTATTGAAGTTTCTTTTTCATCACCTACCTAATGATTTAAATGGCATGGACTTTAAACAGCATGCACTTTATGGGGCATGATTTATGTTACACCAATAATTTATGCTTTTGAGGTAGGTAACTGAGATGATTCTTCACATTTAGGAAGAGTAGGGGAATACAGGTAGCATCATGTAAGCTTTGGAGAAGCTTACCTACAGGGAGTTTGAACTTTGAAGTGTTGCAGCAAGAGATTCTACATCTGTCTCAGTTTGAATACCTAATCCTATCTTGTCATTTCAATATCCTATCCTAACCTGATGACTGATCAGTCCTCTGAGACTGACAGACACTGGTATTTGCAATTGGGACAGCCATCACAGCATGCATTTATCCGAGCATGCATGGTGTTTGGCTGTAGAGCATGACAAGGTCACATGGAGGACATTGAGGTTTTGATGAGCTAGAAGAGTGAAAAGATGAATGTCTACTAAGATTGATCAGCAAGATCATTTGAAATATAAATTGTCAGCCAATGATTGGTGTTTGCATGATGGAACAGCTGCAGAGTGCAGCAGTCCTAGCCCACCCAGACTGCAGGACAAGCATGACAGCAGGGTTCATGAGCTCACACAACAAATTTATCACAAAAGCAAATGAATAGAAATAAAAACAAGATGAACATGCAACTGGCGCAAAAGTGCCTATATACTTGAATCATGGCGTCTTTTGCTTTATCAGGTAACTACCCGTATTTACATATTTGTTTATTTGTTTGCTTCGATATTTTGACTATGTGTTGACCACCGCTCATATAGGTGTGAGTTCAATTACCCGCTCAGTACCTAATAAAGATGGATTAGCAGCCGGCAGCAGCAGCGCCAGGGGTTCCCTATCCTATGGTATATTTATTTATTTACTTATATCTTGGCCTGGAAGCTGACGCTCTGTCATGATGGTACTGAGCACATTGGCAGAGTGCATCGCAATGAAAATAAAAAGATCTTAGTGAGGTTGCCGCCATGCCGCCATACATTGCTGATTGCCATTTGTCGTCCGCCATCTGGCAGTCCACGACTGTGGGGCCGTGGGCATGATAGAATGGTGCTAACAGCATGACGACATTAGTATAACAAGACTTAGATATTTACAAATATTGCTTTTCCTATAAATACACTGATTATGCGCATTTTATTGGATAACTTCTAGTTCTACATAAAATGCGGTGGCGCGATTCATCAATAAACGTATTGAATTGTCTAAAATCTGAAATGCAGCACCAATAACTCGTGAACTAGTGTAAACGAATAAAATGTAAAATAAATACTTACCAATCTTTTATATTATTTCAGCCCAACAACCACGTATTTATCCAAATATAATAACAATTCCAATCTCAATCCAATCACCTGTTCATAAACCACATTCTGCAACTGCGTCAGATATGTATTAGAGGTCAATGCATTGACCAAAGAAAACGAACGAACGAATTATCAAAATAGTGAGCTTTGAGTGAGCTCCCTCAGGCAAGAAAATTATTTTTGGGGGGACACTGAGATTTTAAAAACATAATAACACACCAATATATTTTCATTTGCAGATGCCTAATCGAGGGCATCAGGAAATAAACCCATCAGGAAACTGCTAGGGGAAGCCGGGGGAAGCCCGGGCGCGGGGGAAGCCCGGCCACCCCGTTTCCGGCTAAATTATTCACAATAAAATGCTCAACTGTTTGTCCTTTCAGCGTGGCAGTTAAAGGGACCCTCCCACCTTAACATTAGATTTGAGTTGAGATAGCCAAAATGGGGTCCCTGGCTCACAATTACCGGTTTCGGCACTCACAACATCGAGAAATGCCTTAAATCGGAAATATTGAATTTCAAAATTGCAGCATTTTGATTCAGAGGGGCTAATGCATAGGTATACCCCTCTGAATGTGTGACGTCAGCACAGATATCTAACGATTTTGAAATGTTTGACTAAAACGTTTTGTAGCACGCGGTGGTATATGCTGCTTTGCGCGCAACAAATGCCGCACTTTCAAATAAAGTCGCTATAGGAACAGCGGAGATCCCAAAAAGTAAACAAAAGTAAAAGTCTAATATCTTGAAAACCGGTGAATATTTTTCGATGAAATTTGGTACATATTCGTTTTTGCTCTTTCTGAACCGAGCGACATCACTTTTATGCCAATTCATTTACTTTTTTGAAGGTGGGAGGGTCCCTTTAACCCGCGCGGGGCTGGGGGGGGGGTAAATTTTACCCCCCTTCGCGAATTTTTGCGATATCTCAAAAACGGCGGCGCGCAGCGCCGCCAAACTTTCAGTACCTTTTCTAACATCAATTTGACACCTTCCCTGAAAATTTGAGCGAAATCTGTCGGAATTTTTTTGAGAAATTGACGTTTTAGTGACGTCATGTTCGCCATTTTCGCCTCAAAAACGGCAAAAGTTCAAACGCCGCTAACATCTTCATTTTTAAAGGAATCAAGACGTAACAAAAAAGGTTATAGGGTAAGGTGCCTAATTAGCGACCGCCTTAATTTGAACCGTCATTGCTCACGCTCTGTGAGTGCCACTGTGTTACTGGCTTGATTTTCGGAGAGATCGTTCATTTTTTCTATTAAAATATAGTCATTTTCTGCCCCAATATTCACTAACTTATTTGTAGTGAGCATTTTGGCAAACCATTGCAAAAAACGCTAATAGGGAACTCTTCCCGATTAGCGACAGGGGAGGGTCGCTAATAAGTCTATGGGTTTCCCCATATTAAAAATGGCAAAAAAAATGCGACGCCTGAAAAGATGAAATATGATCTCAAAAAGGTAACCTATACGCAAAGCACTCAATCACTCGAACAGGAACGTTTATCCAACACATTTACGTAAGTAAAAACTGATCACGTGATGCACCGAAGGCGAAAAGAAGGCGGAATCCCAAATTTTGCGGGCTATCTTGTATGATATTCGAGGTCCGCGCTGAATTCGGCACCCCTGCAGTCTGTGACGACATTTGGCATCACCTGCCACACATTGCAAGCTTCAGCAACACCTCATGGTCATTTCTCTCTTTTCCCCTTTCTTTCCCTTCTTGAGCTATTTGCGACCATGTCAGGCGCAAATAGGAAATATGAGTTGCGACACATTTTTAACCGCCATGCTGTGCACAGTTGGGCGATTCACTATGGAAAAACGGCAATCAATTAAAAAAGGAATGTCAATTCAGAATAAAAAAGGTGCATCATCCTAACGTGTATCGCTTTTCATCAGAGAGGGCCCAAACACACACGTTTTGGATAAGAAACTCGTCATTTTTATTTAAACTCACCTGAAACGTCCCACCAGAAACACCGACGACCGGAAAATAATTTAATTTGATAACCAAAGTATGGCTGACCTTTTGACGATGTTTTTACCCCGTTTTCTGCTGCCAGTTTTTCTGTAGGGAGGTAGGTCGCAAATCGGAAAGGGTCGCTAATTAGGCACCTTACCCTACGTAATTTTACTTTGTCTATCAAATGGCTATCTCGGTTTTTTAAAAATTTTGGATTTTGGCCTAAATTTTTTTCAAAAAACTGATTTTTTTGGGAAAATCATTATAAAAGCCAAAATTTTGAGTCTATCGAAAAAACCGGAATATATGTCAGAGAAGTGGTCTATGTGCACCTACATACCAAATTTTAGAAGAATCGGTTCAAAAATGTGGGAGTTATTCAAAATTTTATGACGTCACGACACACAAATTTTTTGAAAAATGACTTTTTTGGAAGTTCTAGACCTCGTACGGAAACAAAAATAGCACCATTCGATTCGCCGTGAAAAACTGCATCAGATAGACACCTTGTTAGGCCTTAACAACCAACTTCAAAATTTGACCTCACTTGACCTGACCTTGACCTGACCTCGACCTGAAATTCATCCAGAGGTGGTCCATATCACTTATTGAGTGTGCCTATTGAATTCTATGAGTAAAATGACCCATAAAACATGTGTCGCACATGCCCTTTTCTATATTTTGCTTTTTGGTGACCTGACCTGACCTGACCTGACCTTGACCTTGAACTCTGAATGATATTGTATGCAACTAATATTGTCTTGGTAGCCTAAGAACACGTTTTGGGCGATCAGTCTCAGTCCATGACTCCATTCTTCGGCAACTACGGTGCAAGGCCGATACTGTAGAAACTTGCAATTTGTACCCTTGACCTGACCTTGACCTTGACCTCAAACTTTAAATTAAGTACATGTTTTTAGTAGTTCGTGATGAGAGCTTTCGATTGGCGTTTGAATTTTCCAAATCGGACCATTAGTTCGGGAGATAACAGGGGGGGTAAAATTTACCCCCCCCCCAGCCCCGCGCGTTCGGCTGGAGACCCCAGCCCCGCGCGGGTTAAGGTAACGCCAGCAAAAAGTTAAGGCTAACAAAAATTGCATATTGTTAAAGTTATAGCGCAAAAATGATATTTTAAGGGTTTTTAGCTAAAAAGTGAGATATGTTGCACTGTTAATGATATACCATACAGTACTAATATTTATACGAATGTTATGTAAGGACCGTTTAAGTGTTTGTAGTGAGGGGTGACGAGGCAGGCTGGCTTAAGTATGACATTTTTTCGAATATCGCTGTTCTAAAATAAAAATTAGCACATTGGGGTAACCCCGGGCGAGTGGCCAAGCTTACCCCCAACCGAGAGCAATGCCACTAAACCACTGTTTTCCATGAGATAATAGGTACTGAGCAGGATTGGTTTACACCTAGATCAAAGATAAATTTCGAAAATAAACATGTTATCATAGACAAAGCCAGTCATGTCACTTAAGGTCAACTAGGGTCAAACTACGTTTTTGCAGATAACGCGACAGACAATGAAGCTAGAGCTTCAAAAATGGTGTCGTTGTGTTCTTCTTCATCAGCCGAGTCGAATGATATGCAATATGATGCATTAAGGTAAATAGAAAAAGAAATTTTAAGGAATTTTGAAATACACATTTTTTGTCAATTTTGCATCACGATTTTCATCGACCTGTACTGTATATGTGGTAGACGCTAGCTAAAATACCAGTAGGGACATAAACTCTAAGATGTCCAGAGCTAATCAGTACCTTAATATTTCACTTTCCGTTAATGTTTGGAAGACACATAATGGTTTCATCAACTCGTTGTAAAGCGCTGGGGAGGTGGCCGGCGTTACCCCTATGCCGGGCTTACCCCAGAAAAATCAATACTTTTTTAAAACTCGATTTTCTCAACCTTATACTTATTCCACGAAACCGAATTTTTGGGAAAACACGGCCAATGAACTTAGCTAGCTAACAGGATATCAACATTCCTGGAAACACTCCCTTATCCACCCTATCCACAAGTCCGGTGACCCTTCCGACCCATCCAATTTCCGACCAATCTCAATCATTCCAGTCATCTCAAAGGTGGTGGAAAAGGTGGTTCAGCACCAACTTTACCACTACCTATCCTCAAACCACCTCCTCTCTCCCAACCAGCACGGTTTCCGTCCACACCATTCGACGGAAACCGCGCTGGTGACAGTCACCGACGACATCCTTAGTGCCGCCGACAGCGGGGAGATCTCTCTTCTGTGCCTAATAGATTTAAGCAAGTGTTTCGATGTCATTGACCATGATATACTACTCAGCAAACTGCACTTGTACGGCATCGACACTGCATGGTTTGCGGCCTACCTGAGCGGTCACACTCAGAGCGTGACTCTGCGTGACTGCGCCGGCGCCCAGCGTGTCTCGCCCCCGCTCCCCAACTCTATGGGCGTGTTCCAGGGCTCTGCCCTGGGGCCATTGCTGTTTACGGTGTTCTCAAACGACCTGTCACTCCATGCAAACGATGCCAAGGTTCTGCAGTATGCTGACGACACCCAGGTGATGGTCTCAGGCAAAAAGAGCGAACTTTCGGCGCTCATCTCTCGAATGGAAAATTCTCTCGCATCTTTGGATAACTGGTTCTGCGCGAACGCCCTCAAGGTCAACGCGAACAAAACTCAACTCATTGCTCTTGGAAACCGTCAAAATTTGCGCAAACTACCAAATTTCACAGTCGCCTTCCGTGACACAAATCTCGTGCCTTGTAACGAGGTGAAAAATCTGGGTGTGACTTTCGACTCAAACATGTCCTGGGACTGTCACGTGGGTGCCGTCAGCCGCCGCTGCACTGGGACCCTCATCGGTCTCTCACAGGTACGACACGTCGTGCCCCGGGGCATATTCGTCTCTCTTGTGACAGCCCTGGTTCTCTCGCAGGTTCGCTATTGCATATCAGTTTATGGCAACGGCTCAAAAAAGAACACAGCTAGAATCCAAAAAATCCTTAACTTTGCAGCAAAAGTTATTTTCGGCCGGAGAAAATTTGACCATGCGAGTGACCTGCTGGAGAACCTGGGCTGGCTGGGGGCTCAGCAACTCGCTGAGTACAGTACGCTCTGCCTCACGCAGAAACTGCTCTCGAGTGGCGAGCCAGTCTCCCTCGCGGCCGTCCTCCGCTCGAACTCGGACGTACGTGAGCGCACGACCAGGCAGGACAGTCATCTCCATGTACCACGGTCAAGAACCGAGGCGGGGAAACGGCGTTTCTGTGCGAGAGCCCCGAGGCTTCACAACCAGCTGCCACCTGAGACCGTTTCCCTCAGAGGGAAACGCTTCCAACGAGCCCTGAAGCGACAGATGCGGAGCCGG